AAAAAAAAAAAAAAAAAAAAAAAAAAAAAAAAAAAAAAAAAAAAAAAAAAAAAAAAAAGAAAAGATTCCTTTTTCTCTCCGATCGATTTTAATCACGGGTAAGTGTTTAAATTATAATGCGGTCTGTCCGCGCGCGCAAGACTAACATGTTTTTATCATCGATGTTATACGTATGTATATATTATACCTATAAAGTGCAAACTTATAGCATCGAGAACCCAATAAAAATGGCAAAATGTGAAAGAACTGCCATTTCTTTTATATACTATATATGCGTTTTTGTATGGTTTTATTATATATCACTCCTTGAATATCATTGTGACACGCAAATATATGGCAACTAAGATAAAAAATTAAAATAAATTTATCATGACTTTTAACCACCAGTCATTATGCCTTAAAAACGAAAGCTTTTGAAACTCGTACATATTATTTGGTACTGGATCAAAGAAAATTTTTCATTCCGTGATTGCCGTGATTTTTCCAGAATTTTCACTCAGCTGTATTAACTAAAAAAAAACCTCGAAAAAAAAAAATCACGTTAATGTAAAGCATACATTTTTGAAGCGCGTAAATGATGTACTTGAAAACTGTTGGAAGGAAAAGGTCGAAAAAGTATTTTTTGTCTCTTCCTCGAAAAATGATGGAAACACAACGGTATCTAATGAAAAAAAAAAAAAAAAAAAAAAGTAACGACTGTGACCCAACAGGCCCCGGCCCCGGAGATGCGGTCGTCGTCACGCGGAAGGGACCACCAGCAGCGGCCGAGTGCCAACAACAATGCAGCCACCACTAGCCCGTTACCCATGCGGCCGTTCACGCCGCCGGACCTCTCCTCGATTCCCCACATGGACGAGGCCGTCCAGCAATTGGGCGACAGGTCGCATCACCGCAACGGCGAGCCCCGGCCGTCGAGCGAGGGGCCTTACATAGTCGGCAGTCCCATCGATCTCGGGGCCGTCGATAACGTTGACGCTATCCACTTGCGGCTCGGGCCCTTTGCCACCCACAAACGCTCGGCGTCATCGGCTTCGTTTCGGCAGCGCAAAAACAAGGGCGACTTGCAGCACATCGAACTCACCGAGGCCGCGGACGTTCGGTCGCCCACTTCAGGTACCCATTTTACCATGATAATATAATTATTATATACTCTCATCATCTCTCCAAGCTTCAACTTTTGTTGCTCGTTGCGAGGGGCTGCGCGCACTCTTGAAGTCTTGGTTGAGAGCTCGAAGTCTTTTCGAGACCTTTTGCAGTCTTTTAAAAGCTTGAAGGTTTTTTTTAATTACTTGGAGCGATGCGCACTCTTAAAGTCTCCATGAAGTATTTTTTGAGAATATTGCAGTCTTTTAAAGACTTTGAATGGCTTGAAGGGATGCGCACTCTTCAAGTCTCGGTAGAGAGTTCAAAGTCTTTTCGAGACCTTTTGCAGTCTTTTTTAATTACTTCGAGCGATGCGCACTCTTAAAGTCTCCATGAAGTATTTTTTGAGAATATTGCAGTCTTTTAAAGACTTTGAATGGCTTGAAGGGATGCGCACTCTTCAAGTCTCGGTAGAGAGTTCAAAGTCTTTTCGAGACCTTTTGCAGTCTTTTTTAATTACTTGGAGCGATGCGCACTCTTAAAGTCTCCATGAAGTATTTTTTGAGAATATTGCAGTCTTTTAAAGACTTTGAATGGCTTGAAGGGATGCGCACTCTTCAAGTCTCGGTAGAGAGTTCAAAGTCTTTTCGAGACCTTTTGCAGTCTTTTTTAATTACTTGGAGCGATGCGCACTCTTAAAGTCTCCATGAAGTATTTTTTGAGAATATTGCAGTCTTTTAAAGACTTTGAATGGCTTGAAGGGATGCGCACTCTTCAAGTCTCGGTAGAGAGTTCAAAGTCTTTTCGAGACCTTTTGCAGTCTTTTTTAATTACTTGGAGCGATGCGCACTCTTAAAGTCTCCATGAAGTATTTTTTGAGAATATTGCAGTCTTTTAAAGACTTTGAATGGCTTGAAGGGATGCGCACTCTTCAAGTCTCGGTAGAGAGTTCAAAGTCTTTTCGAGACCTTTTGCAGTCTTTTTTAATTACTTCAAGCGATGCGCACTCTTAAAGTCTCAAATGAAGTATTTTTTGAGAATATTGCAGTCTTTTAAAGACTTTGAATGGCTTGAAGCGATACGCACTCTTCAAGTCTCGGTAGAGAGTTCAAAGTCTTTTCGAGACCTTTTGCAGTCTTTTTTAATTACTTCAAGCGATGCGCACTCTTAAAGTCTCAAATGAAGTATTTTTTGAGAATATTGCAGTCTTTTAAAGACTTTGAATGGCTTGAAGCGATACGCACTCTTCAAGTCTCGGTAGAGAGTTCAAAGTCTTTTCGAGACCTTTTGCAGTCTTTTTTAATTACTTCAAGCGATGCGCACTCTTAAAGTCTCAAATGAAGTATTTTTTGAGAATATTGCAGTCTTTTAAAGACTTTGAATGGCTTGAAGCGATACGCACTCTTCAAGTCTCGGTAGAGAGTTCAAAGTCTTTTCGAGACCTTTTGCAGTNTTAATCACAGTTTTTTTCTGTTGGATTTATTACAAATTCTCACATCTGAAAAGATGTCGGTATTTTTAAAACCTAAAAAATTAATGGAATGGTTTGAAAAAAGTTTGTTTATTATTGATAAGCAACCAAATTTAAAACGTTTTAATATGCACTGAAATTTTAGCTCCCGTATCGTGATCAATCATTTTTGATTAATTTTAATTGATTTTTATTTCAGTCTACACCAATCCGTTAATGAAAAACTTTGTCTCGCAATTGTCATTAGCAATAAACCAAGCGATGACTAAAAACGCTTTGCTTCCGTAATAATTGAATTCTTGGCTTAAAAGTAAGGTTTATATCATTTCGGTGGATATTTCTTTTAATTTTATTGAAAACGTTTATTTTTCGAGTAATAGTTATTACTATGGTAATTTTTGTCAGCGTTATTATTGTATTATAATTATTATATTATTTTCATGAAAAAAAATTTTGTTCGCTCAGCAAATATTTTAAATTAAACAAACAATTCAATAACTCTGAAAAAAAAAAAAAATTTTATTTTTAAAAAAAAAAAAAAAAAAAAAAAAAAAAAGATCTGTTTATCATTTATGTGGTTCGTTGTGCTACTGTTGATCAAAAAAAGTAAGTAGCGATGAAAAAAGGTCACTGGCTTCTTCAACAGTGCAACAATATAATATCAAACGCATCGTGAGCCATGTGAATGTGAAAAATATTAGATCACAATTGTATGCTTTTTGAGACAACTTTTATGCTTAACCCCCTGTTTGCAACACGAGTCAATTACGCATAGTACATGTGTGACAAAGGGTAGTAAGTGCACTCCCAATCGATTAATTTACCGATATATGCTCCCTTGTGTGGTAGGTTGAGTTGTAAAAAATATGTTGTAAATGTATAATTTTACACTAATTTTTCATAAAATATCCCATAATATTTAAGCACTCAAAGCTACAGTATTGTAAGGGTGATGATGGGTAAACAGATCGAAGTTGGGGTGACGGCCTTGGCCTTCTGTGAAAGCTCGACGTTGGAAGGTATAGGTAAAGCGCGTGTAGGATTTGTATCGATGAGTTTTGTCTATCATCATTTATCATGCAACCCATTCGATAGTCTACATTGCCGACCGACGAGTATAAGCTGGCTTACTCGATCGGTTATTTGAGCTTGCGAGAAATGCATTACTATACGATCGAGCTTTCAGGTCGCTGTATATTGTATTGTTTCGTTGTGAGAAGTTACATTTTTACTTCGAAAGCTTTTGGTGTAATTTTCACGCTTAAGGAATACACTGTCAAAAAATAAACTTTTTAGCGAGTATGTATGTTTTCTTAAAAGTTGTACTCAGTCGTCAAAATTGAAAAAAAAAAAACAATTTTTGTACAAGTTGGTAGAAAATGACGAAGCGACACTTTAAAAATGCCGTTTTTTGGCCTGTGACAAAATTTNTTACAAAGTAAAAAGAAGTAAAATAAAAGTATGACGCTCATCAGGAGCTTTTTCATTGGCTTATAAATATAAAAAAAAAAAAAAAAAAAAAAAAAATACATACGGGCGGGCCAATTTAAAACTATACACATATACGAAAGATTTGTTTGAAGGTGGTAAATGTCGTGTGGGTGTTCGTATATTCTCTTGATCGAATGCAATGAAATTTAATTTTTCGGCAAATATTTACCGGTGATCAATTTATGAAACGGTTCACTGACTCCGAGTGACCCAATTTGCTCTTGTATAACAACACAGTAATAAAAGAGAATAATACTTTAGATCAGTGCTGGGTTCCCGTTTATATACATTTAGATAAAGAGTTTAAGTACTCTGAGATTCATTTAACCTCGTAAATGGCTGTATTCTTGATTATGTTTTGAAAACACTTTGAGAAAAAAAGCAAATTTGAAGAATCACCGTCAGTTGGAGAAGTATTTTTATTTCTTTTATTATGAAAAAACAAAAAAAAATATACATCCCAGTAACAACGCTTACCTATATATATATATACATATACACTCGACGCTTAACACCACATAATATTATACACTCGCGCGTAGGAACATGAAATCTTGAAAAAGAAATAAAAAGAAAAAACAAGAATCGCGCTCTCCCTTTGCACATCAGGTGCGTGCGTGCTTCGTCATACAATTAACACACGCACGTTATTACATAACGCGCTAAACAATAAATAACGCGTACCGTCCTCTCTCTCTCTCTCGGCGCTATTGTGCGCTTGCACACCTATATACACTTATTAAGCCGGCCGGCGTTCGCTCTCCGAATACAAGAGATTTTCGCGGCTGTATAATATATACCTACTTGCTTCCCTCCCCTGCACTCATGCGCGCAACCTCAATTCTTTCTTTTCTCTCAGTTAACTGCTTATAATAATCTAATGTACGATGCACGGCTCTATATATATATATATATATATGGGGAGAGAACATCACGATGATGCGCCACGTGTGTATAATAGAGGGAAAGAGAAATTCGTCCTAATTAGGTAGACATTTGACCCTGTACATACATACACCTATATACTGATAAGTATATTTAATGCAAGTCGGCTATGGTGATGCCACTCGTCTACACACGTATATCGTCCATAATGTACACTTATTTGAAATGCTCACGTGATTGGGTTATCGATCTGTTTCACCGGCTTTCGGTGGTTTTTAATTTAAGATAAGTATAGCTGCCGTAATTATGATCGCGACCACGATGCGGAGTATACATACTTACTTACATATATATACGAGACAAATTGTGCTTGATCAATGATTGTTAAGAAAAAAAAGAGTAGCGATACTCTTTAATTTTTATTTAAAAGTACATACTGTTTTTTCGACTGTTTTTTTACAACACTTACTTTTCAATAAGAATATCACTCGACGATCGAATCATATAATATAATATAAATAAATTTGCTTGAGTTATGATTGAATAATGATCTTGTCATGACGAAGAATTCAGGTGTACGATATTTATTTATTTAAATTTTTAAAAAATTTTTTTATTTTTTCAATATAAAAAGCATCATAGAAACATAAAGTGTCAGTTGATGGACAAGAAACTAAAAAGATATTTTTATTTCAAAAATGTTGAATTTCCTTCGTCATGTCATTTTTGAATCACTAACGTTACCTCACTGAAAATCAATATGATTATTTTGACGTAGCTAATAAATTATTTAAACAATTAGATCTTGGTTCTTCACAAGTTTCTTAAACTATATAACAGTCTAAAAAAATATTTTTATTTTGTATGTTTCGTAAAAGTTGCACCATTTCTAAATCTCTTGATAAATCTAGCTTAAACTTTCTGAAATTTTATTTTATCGTAAAATTAAT